AGCCTGGTATTTTTAATGTGTTAGAATTCTTATATTTCTGTAGCTTAATATCCTGGAGAACAGATTAATTATTACCCTACTGAAATAATTATTTTTTGATTCAAAGGTATTCAAAGACCTGGACCAATGCACTGTTCTAGTACACATATAGCAGCCAAATCTTTAGGCCATACTCTGGTAATAGTGAGTGTGACTGAATATGAAGAGTATTTGGAGAGCAGTGCCACATTTGCTGCTTATGAGCCCTTAAAGGTAAGATATTTCATAGTAAGGTACTGTCATTCAATTTCTTTCCATGGACCCAACTCTATACTTAGGGACTACCTAGTCATCTGTATTCACTAAGGATCAGTGGTGATATCTGTATTCTTTTATTTACCACTGTGTGTGTGTGTGTGTGTGTGTAATGTTAAGGATCAAACCCAGGGCCTGGCACATGCTAGGCAAGTGCTTTACCACTGAATTACAGCCCTACTATTTTGTTTTTATATGTAAATTCTCTCATCAAACCTGAATTTTGGGGAATTTACTCCTCATGCTTCTACCTTATGCTTCATGAATTAAAATATTCAGGAATATTTTTAAGTTGACACCCTGTTTCAAAAGAAAACATAAAAAAAGCTAGGATGAATGTAGTTCAGTGGTGGAGTGGCCCTGAGTTCAACCCCCAGTAACAAATAAAGAAAAAGGATTAAAAAAAAAAAGAGGGAGAAAAGAAAATAAAAAGACAAAAAGAAAGATAACTTGTTTGTTCACAGTTGGCCTCTTTGCGCATTGTGCAGTATATGTATTAAACATCTGAGTACATTGAGGATTTGAGTACATTTCATTGGTTCCCTAGCAGAAGAATCATCTTACTTGCCAAATTCAGTGGAAGTGCCTAGCTATGGCTTATTATAATTTCCTTACTTTTCTCGTTAGACTTTTTTCATATTTATTGTCTATAAATGATCTCCTCTGAATATAAACCATCCTTAAAGGAAAGGAAGATGATGATTTTCTTTTTCCACCAAATGCTTTACTTGTGCTTCTTTCCCTTTACCTGCCAAAAGAGAGTATATAAAAACATACGTATCTTGGAGCTGGGAATTTAACTTAGGAGGTAAAGCATTTATCTAGCATGTGTAAGGCTCTGAGCTCAGTCTCTAGCACTGAAAAAATATATATGTGTCTATGTCTGCATTCTATCTTTGTTTCAGAACATGGTATCGTTTTCAATTGTTCTTTTACTTCCAGCTCAGTTCAGTTGGTCTGATTAATTTTGGACTATGCATCTAAGAAAAAGAAATCATCTCTACTTTTCTTTCTTAGAGAAACTTTCCATGAAGCCTCTAAGTTCATTCTTTCATTAATTTCCTCTATAAAAAGTTTATATAACACTCTGCAGTGTAGGGTTTTTTTGTTTTGTTTTGTATGTACTGGGAATTAAATTCAGGGCCTCATGCATGCTAGGTCAGCACTCTAGGACAGAGGTATATTCCTACCCTGTGTTGTAACTTTTTGTAATACTCATCACCTACTCCAAAGCTGTTTTCCCAAACTGTGAAGCAGTTTGGATTTCTATTATTGTGTTCCCAGTAGGCCATCAGCGGATACTTTTTAAATTGTATATACCTTATTTAAGAAAATGCTGCCATTACAGATAGAAATAATGTTTTAAAAACTTCTATTTATTTATTTATTTATTTATTTATTTATTTATTTATTGTTGTCATTGGGAATTAAAACCTTTACCACTTGGCTACATCTCCAGTCTTTATTTTAGTTTTTACTTTGAGACAGGGTCTCACTAAGTTGCTTAGGACCTCACTAAATTGTTGAGGCTGGCCTTGAACTTGTGATCCTCCTGCCTCAGCCTCCAGAGTTGCTGGGATTACAGGCATGCTTCACTGTGCTTGGCAGAAATATTTAATTCCAATGATATTCAATAATAAATATGATTGACTAGTTCTGAAATGAAATAATAAAATTTGGTTTGATTACACTTTTAGAAAATTGTATCAACACTCTACTTCATTTTATGATTTGGTCAGTGTTGTAGACACTTGTGCATCATACAAGAATAACCTGCACTTACCAGGCATGATGGTACGCACTTGTAATCCCAGGGGCTCACGTAGGTTCTGAGCAAGACTCTGTCTCAAAATAAAACAAAAAAGGGTTGGAGATGTATATATTAGATAAATTGTATTTCACTTAAAAAACTGTCTAAAGAGGCATGACCGGCATACCTGTAATTCCAGCTACTCAGAAAGCTGAAGTAGGAGGATATCAGGCCCAGAAGTTTAAGACCAGCTTGGGAAACTTAGACTCTGACTCAATTGATCGATAGATAGATAGATAGATAGAGAGATAGATAGATAGATAGATAGATAGATAGTAGATTAGAAAAAAATTAAATGTTGAATTTCCTAACCAACCTGAGATCAATTTCTTTAAATGTCATCAGGCCCTAAACCCTGTGGAAGTGGCATTGGTGACATGGCAGTCTGTGAAGGAAGTAGTGTTTGAAGGGGGGCCTCGTCCGTGGATCCTGGAACCCTCCCGTTTTTTTTTGGAGCTGAGCATGGAGAGGACAGAGAAGATCAAAGTGACAGAAGTCCGACTGCCAGCCAAGAGAAAGCAGAACCAGTACATATACCGGATCCTGTGCCTGGATTTAGGGGAGCAAGTATGAAAATAATCTTTATAGTCTTTTTTCCCCCTAATATTTCTTTTCATATAATACTTCAATTCCTTTGTACTACCAGCCATTCCTTTTCAGATTCTAATTGATTTAGTTTATGAACTAGATAGGAAAATTCTAATTATTGATTAAATTAAATTCTAATTTTTGATTATCCTTTATATGTAATCAGTGGTTTCAGTTTGCTTATCTGAGAATTCTAACACTCATTAACAATCAAGATTTTTTTGTTATGAATTATTTTAAATTATTTTAATTTTATCACTTTAATTAATGGCCCTATTATCTAGACTAGAGGACATTTTATTCCTTACCTTCAAAGAATTAAAAGAAGAAAAACTTTTTCCCCATTTTTTTATTGGTGCACTATTATCATACATTAGAATAGTGAGATTTATTATTACATATACATGTACATCATATAACAATATAATTTGGTCAGTATCCTTCCCCAGTATTTCACCTTTCCCTCTCCCCCACCCTGTCCCTTTCCTCTACTGTACTGGTCTCCCTTTAATTTTTTGTGAGACACCCTCTGCCCCCCAGCTTCTTTTTCCTCTCTGGCTTCTACATATAAGAGAAAATAAACAACTCTTGACTTTCTGAGTTTGGTTTATTTATGTAATATAATGTTCTCAAGTTTCATCTACTTTCTGCAAATGACATAACTTTATTCTTCTTTATGGCTGAATAAAATTCCTTGTGTATATTTTCACATTTTCTTGATCCATTCATTTGTTGATGGACATCTAGGCTGGTTTCATAGTTTGGCTATTGTGAATTGTGCTGCTATAAGCATGTGTATGCATATATCACTCTAGTATACTGACTTTAATACTTTAGGATAAATACCAAGTAGTGGTCATTAGTGATTCTATTCCTAGTCTTTTGAGAAACCTGTATACTGATTAAGGAAGAGACTTTAAAGGGTCAACTGTCTTTAGTAATTTTGAGGAAACAATCTATACTGATAAAGAGTATTTTATCCTCAATTGAATTAGTTTTTTGGGGGGGATGTGGGGGCTGGTTACTGGGGATTGAACCCAGGGGCACTGTACTACTGAACTATATTCCCAGCCCTTTAAAAAAATTATTTTGAGTTAGGTCTTGCTAAGTTGCTTAAGCCCTCGCTATATTGCTCAAGCTGGCCAAACTTGTGATTCTTTTGCCTCAGCATCCCAAGTTTCTGAGAATACAGGTATGTGCCACAAAAATTGGAGAATAATCTTTTACTATTTTTAGAGGCAACAATGTGTGTTGCATAGGTATTGTTCATAGCTCTACCCTGCCTCTATCAAAACTAGTAACAAGCCGGCACACACCTGCAATTCCAGCAGCTTGGGAAGCTGAGGCAGGATTGTGAGTTCAAAGCCAGCCTCAGCAAACATGAGGTGCTGAGCACTCAGTGAGACTTTGTCCCTAAATAACATACAAAATAGGGCTGGG